CTACAAAAGATGTGGATGGAAGAGACATGTTAGCAAATAAGGAAAAATGAAATGTGTGTAGGACCTTACCAGAAATACTCTCACAAAGCCTCACGAGTCACTCCAAGGAAACTTGAATGTCACTCAATCCGCTCGTGTTTGCACTCTAGCACTTAATGGCTTTTACTTGTCCTCTTCTGATCTCACACACTCTCCAGCCTTTTTCCTCTCGATTCTCTTGTCTCAAGTTCTAGAGAACTTTACTCAAGATTATATCAAGTAAATTTTACTTGTTTGGCGTCGGCTGCAAAAAGGTTAGTAGGAAGGGAAAACAAATATATGAAAGGGTGGCTTAGAAATAGAAAGAAAAGAAAAAGGGATTACTTACACAAGTCACTTTACAACTTTCTATCATCACAATCAATTTAAACGGCTTACTTGACTTGCTTGGTGATGAGAACTGTTGATGAGTGCTTCAACTTTATTATTTCTTTTCTTTTCTTTGCTTTCTCTTTTGAGTGCTGGATTTTTCTTTCTTTTGAGTGATTCACTTTGTTTCTGATTTTTCTTGATTTCTTTGACTTTGTACTTCACATGCACTTCTTTTTGTATTTTTCTTTTTGTTGTTGTTGCACGTTGCTTTTCCACCAAAGCTCTGATTACCGCTTGATGTAAGGCTCTTCCGATGCCTTAACAAATGATTGTGGATCTAGGAAGGAAGCAAAACAACCTACGAAGTGAATGGCTCAAAAACAGAATGGTTAAGGGTGGTAGGCGTATGGTGAATAGGTGGGCTATTTAAAATGGAAGCGGAAGAATGGTTGATTAGGCTAGGTTATGGTTTATGAAACAAAAGGGATGGTAGTGAGGATAGTATCTTGAAAAATACTCAAAGAAGAACCATGCTATATAGAGCAAAGACCCAGACTTTATATTGCTTCTTCAAGGGGTGGTGATAAGTACTTTGACCCACTAGTTATATGAACTAGGAACCAGAAGTATCAGATGAAAGAAAGGGGTTGACGCCACAAGTATAAAATATACTTGATAAGTCGAAAAAGTACCAAGACTTAAGGAAGAGAATAATCTCACTTTAATTAAACAAAGGTCTGATTACAATTGAAATAATGGCATATTTATAGTTTTTGAAGGGACTTGGCCGAATAGGTACATGTTGGTTCGGCCAACCCTTGTACCTTCCTAAAATGACATGATTTTTAATGAAAAAACAAGACTTTAATGAAAATACATGCTCTTGACTGAATAGTTATGTGTTGGTTCAGCCCTAAGGATGATTTGAATGCAATTGGAAGTTATTTGGGCGCCAAAATGAAGAGGAAAGAGTATTTGGCCGAATAGGAAGCATCCATTGGTGTTTTGGCGCCAATTTGATGTCACATGAAGTGCACATGCTTGAATGATGCACATGGCAGCCTACATGAATGCACATGGGTCTTCTTGCTATGCTTTGATGAGGTTGCAACCATAGGATGATGTCTTGAAGTCCATGGAATGAAGATAGGCAATAACTAGGCATGAATTAGCTTCCAATGTGTATCTAGATGACATGACATCCATTGGGCAGCCTAGAGATGAACTAGCTTCAAGGTAAGCTAGATGAGTGTCTTGGTAGCTAACTAGGTGAGTTATAGCTTGATAAACTCAAGCTAGTTAGCTTTGGTCTTCTCCTCCTCAGCTACTCTCTCAGCTACTTCCAACTACCTTTAGTCCACTTTTCAGCACTTTGGTCCAAAACTCTCTTCCAGCTAAGTTCAGCTACATGCTAGCTCCTCCAGCTAAGTTGAGCTTTCTTTAGTGTTCCACGAGCTGCCATGATATTTGTGAGCTATTTGTGAGCTGCATATGACGTCAAAATACTCTACCAAGCTGCCTCATCGTGCATCACACTCTAATGTACATATGTACAAGGAAACAAGGTAAGTCCATGATATTGAGCGTTATGAGCTAAATGCCTTGCTGCCATGTATGATTATTGTGATGTGAGCTATGTTGAAGGTCATGAGCTAATTATATCATCTCAAGTATGTGTAAGATAATGCATGAAGCTTAAGAGCTAATATGAATGCATATGAACTAATGAAATGATTTATAATGATGCTGCCTTGATGTATATATGATAATCATGCTTAATATGATTATAAGACTATCCTTATTCTTATAACATTGTGTATCAATCATAAAGATAGGGTATAGTTGTATGCATGAATATCATATAACATGGTATTCATAATAATAATGGAAACATGTAATAATAATATCCTAAGAGATATGTAATCATAGCATATATTTGAATAATATGAAAAAAACATGATCAAATAAGCAAGGATGGAAAAATAGTATAATAGTTTATACTAACATGTGAATGCATGCTTATGATAGAATAGAATGTATAAATGATAGTATAAGATAGGGTAATGAAGAACTCCCTTAGAAATAACTTTGAAGAACATCCATGGTGTGTTCAAGTCATGGAGAAAGTTGGAGCTTGTTTGGATCGTATCAACATGTCTCCTCTCGGGTTACTGATGGTAGAGGGCACGTGAAGATAAGGACAATTGGCTCTTAAAAATATATTCTTTCGTCTTGTTCGCTTATGAAATACCATCCGATTCGGTATTGCATTATGCTTAGCAGTCTCATTATGTCATGATACTTCCCTTTTTTTATCCTTGCTCCCAAATCCTACATATCAAATAAAACACATTCCCTATAACACAACACCGTTTACAAAATAAAATGCCGCGACAAAATATTTTTCCACCACATGCAACTATATGCTCCTAAATGCATCTATATGATCCTATATGAGCTTTTAGAAAATCAATAACTTAAGTGAAAAGGCCATAATATGGTATTTTTCAGAGTTATAACACCCCAAACTGAAGCTATTGCTTGTCCTTAAGTAATGGATAGTATTAAGTAAAATAAAATACCATGGCAAGTTCAGATGCAGGATAGTTATATGGGATATAATTTCAGCCCTCAGAACATATGGCTTCAATATGCTAAACTAGTTTGAGAAATCAAGTACTGTCCCCTAGGGCAAGATCCTTTTGTGTGAGTGTGTGCGTGTTTGTATCAAGTCCATGCTTAACAAACCTAGAAAATTTATAAACAAGCTCTCTTGTTTTGTCACGACATTTACAAGTTTACTCCCACATTATTTTATTTTCCTTCTTTAACACTACTACGATGAGAGTCAGCCCATCACACCTACGATCCCACACTCTAGGTGAAAGAGAGCATACCTTCCACCCCAAGTTAGTCAGGTAGAATCATCATGTGACTACTTTCATTCACTCATATGCCATGACATAGCAGAGTATCCCTCTACAGATATACTGAAGCATTTATTCACAATTTCATTATTTTTTTATATGTGGGGTTTTCATCATTCATCAAAGTTTTATACCAAGGTATTCAAGATTTCTCTTATAAAAAAAATCTAAGTTCCTTAAGTATGGAAAACATATAATCGTGCATCCAAAGGTTTAAAAAAAGTAAGTCCTAGAGTTGGTTCTATCATCCTTAATAGTCATGTACATTACTTCTAGCCATAAAGAGTTCATCATCATCGAGCATCCTTAATTTATTCTAGAGAACTAGTCCTAACACTTACTCATGTCATGGCATATTCATTATACTAATACTATCATGCAATGATTTGAGATACCCTACCTCCCCCAAACTTGAGAGAAGCATTATCCTCAATGCTAAATAAAAACTAAGTAAAACTAAACTACATGTTATGCAATGCAATGCTATGCAAGGTACATTGACTTTATGATGGTGGTGGTGCAGCGGTCGTGCGACGTGGGCGCTTGCGCAATTTTGTGGGGCTGGAATGTTCAAAATCTGATGCGGGTGTAGCAGGGGGAGTCCTAAGTCATTCTGGGACTGGGGATAGCTGAGGTTCCTCATGCCTAGACACATTCTTCAACCGGCGTCTACTCCTTCACAGAGGAATTTGCTGCGGTATTATAGATTGTTCATCCTCAAGTGTCTCTATGGGCTACGGTGATGCTGGTACGGTTGAAAGTTGTAGCTTGTCTTCTTGACAATTAATTGTTGGCACAGAGAGGAATGGATCAAGATCGGCTGGTTCCACCTCATCAGCGGGCTGGTGAGCATCTTCTGATGCTTCAACATTTTCAGATGGTTATAAGAGCGTAGCAGGGAAGACTGGGATATCAAAGTTAATGTACGGGAGAATCTCCATGAAATCATTCACGATAAACTCATATCGGCTCTTTATGTAAGCAAAAAAGGTCATCATGTTGTTAGTCAGATGCTCGATATGCTCTTGGGTTTGCTTAATGACCTCCTCTAGGGTATCTAATTTTACCTTGGCATCTGAGGTTGCATCAACGCGAGAAGTGTTCTCTTATTTCTCTTTTCCCTTGCTTTCCTTGAATCCAAGTAATATAAGAAGCTTGTCCTTTGTAATTCTAGACAACCCAGACAATATCTCATCAAATTGCTCCTCGGGCACCTTCTTCTTACCGCAGAGAGCCGTAATGAGGTTTAAAAATACCAAGGCATTGGCAGGTCGATTCATATATGTATAAACTTGTTCCGCAATTATCTTGCCTATGTCAATGGAACACCTTACTAAAATGGAGTGATAGAAGCGTTTGATGATAATGAGGGAAAAAAAGAAAAGATGAAGACTAAGTGAGAGACTAAAAGGGTGAAAACAAGATGAAAAGGTAAAATGGGTGGTTATTTAACGTGTGGATGGGGTGTTAGTTGGGGAAAAAGATAAAAATAATTAAAACAAACCCTAAAAAAACTAAAAATTTCTTTCTCCTATTTTGTCTTGTTGCCGTCCATTCCCCTTTCTTCAATAGTACGATCATCACGTGTATGTTATGTGGACCCTAAATTTTCAAAATAAAATAAAATAATCAACTAAAGAGAAACTCAATAAAACAATAACAAAATAAACAATTATTTATGCACAAGAGTAAATTCAAAATGTAACGGCATCTTCAAGATGCTTAGCAGATTTCGACATTGTGCAAGAAGAGTGCAGATTTGTCACGCATGGGCGGAGCTCCTTGATAAGCCTTAAGAAACTGTCCATTAACTTTGAAAATGGAGCCATCATCCATATTATTGATGTCCACAGTGCCATGAGGGTATACATGGTGTACTTCAAATGGTCTGGACCATCGTGACTTCAATTTCCCAGGGAAGAGCTTCAACCTTGAGTTAAACAGGAGCACATGCTGGCCAATATGAAAATGCCTTGGAAAAAGAATTCGATCATGCCACTTCTTGGTTTTTTCTTTGTAAAGTTTGGCACTTTCATATGCTTGTTCTTGAGACTCTTCTATTTCATTCAAATAGAGTAATCTTTGCTCCCCAACTAATTGTTGTTCAAAGTTCAGCTTCTTGATCGCCCAATATTCCTTATGCTCTAACTCCACAGGTAGGTGGCATGCTTTTCCATATACCATCTTGAAAGGTGATATTCCCAAAGGCGTTTTGAATTCTGTCCTATAAGCCCTGAGCGCTTCGTTCAACTTTGGATACCATTCATTCCTTCTAGGATTCACCACATTATTTAGGATTTGCTTGATCTCCCGGTTGGACACTTCAGCTTGCCCATTGGTTTGTGGGTGATATGCCGTGGTATTTAGATTGTTATCAAAATGAGTGCCCTCGTCACTAATGATGGCTCTTGGTGCTCTAAATCGGGTAAGATGTTCTTGTGAAGGAACTTGGGCACGGTTTTAGAGTCATTCCTCGGTGTGGCAATTTCTTCAACCCACTTATATACGTATTCCACAGTAAGTAAAATATACAAGTCTCCAAAAGAAGATGGGAACGGTCCCATGAAGTCAATGTCCTATACGTCAAAGAGCTTGATCTCCAGAATATTTTGTAATGGCATTTCGTGTCGTCTGGAAATGTTCCCAATATGTTGGAATCTATCACACACTTTGCAAAACTCGTGAGCATCATTAAACAGTGACGACCAGTAAAAGCCTGATTGGAGGACCTTAGCAGCAATCCTCACACCTCCGAAATGTCCTCCACAGGGGGCTGTGTGGCAATGGTATATAATGTCTCTTTGCTTCTCCCCAGGGACACAATGTCGAATTATTTGATTAGCGCATTGTTTGAATAAGTATGGCTCATCCCAGAAGTAGAACTTGGCATTATGCTTGAACTTCGTCCTGCCCTGCCTGTTCAATTCATAAAGCAAAATACCACTAACAAGAAAATTAACGATGTCAGCGTACCACAGAATTGCCATGGCATATAAAATTTTCTAATCAAGGAATTCTTCTTGAATATCTAAAATGTCATGGCATTTAGAATTGTTTTCTAACTAGATAAATGATCTGCAACATGGTTTTCAGTACCTTTCCTATCTATTACTTCTAAGTCAAATTCTTGCAGTAGTAATATCCACCTAATGAGTCTAGGCTTGGCATCATTCTTGTTCACTAAGTATTTTATCACTGAGTGATCAGTGTGAACAATGACTTTAGTGCCTATCAAGTATGACCTAAACTTGTCAAATGCAAACACAACGACAAGTAATTTTTTCTCAGTGGTAGTAAAGTTCAATTATGCTTCATTCAAGGTACGACTAACATAATATATAACATGGAATATTTTACCTCTGCGTTGCCCAATCACATATCCCACGGCAAAATCGCTTGCATTACACATCAACTCAAATGGTGATGTCTGATCAGGGAGAACCACAATAGGCGAAGAGATAAGCCTTTTTTTCAGCTCGATGAATGCGCCATGACAATTTTTATCGAACATAAAGGGCTGATTTTACTAAAATAGGGTGCATAAGGGCTTGGATATCGTGGAGAAGTCCTTGATGAATCTTCTATAAAATCCAGAATGTCCAAGAAAACTCCTAATAACCTTTACAGAAGTTGGTGGGGGTAGCTTCTCGATCACCTTGATTTTGGCTTTGTCCACTTCAATGCCTTTTTGAGAGATCTTATGGCATAAAACAAATCATTCGGTTACCATGAAGTGACACTTTTTCCAATTTAGCACGAGATCGGCCTCCTCTCAATGCTTGAGTACCTTTGCCTGATTACCGAGGTATTTCTCAAAGTCATATCCAGAAACGGAGAAGTTATCTATAAACATTTCTAGAAAATCCTCAACTATTTCAGAAAATATGGCTTGCATACAGTGCTAAAATGTTACCGGGGCATTACAGAGTCCAAAAGGAATCCTCCAGAAAGTATAAGTGCTATAGGGACACGTGAACGTAGTCTTATCTTGGTCCTCTAGAGCTATGTCAATTTGATTATACCCTGAGTATCCGTCTAAGAAATAGTAATATGCCTTGCCATCTAGTCGATCCAACATTTGATCGATGAAAGGAAAAGGGAAGTGGTCCTTTTTGGTGGCCTTGTTTAGTTTGCGATAGTCCATACATATCTGCCACCCGGTGATAGTGCGTGCTGGTATCAACTCAATATCTTCACTTGTCACCACGGTCGTACCTCCCTTCTTTGGCACACATTGGACAAGACTCACCCAAGAACTATCAGAGATGGGGTAAACCACTCCAACATCAAGCCATTTGAGAATTTCTTTATCATGACTTACTTTATGATTGGGTTTAATCTTCTTTGCGGTTCTATGGATTTGCCATGGAATTCTTCTAGTAGGATTTTGTGCATGTAATTATTCCCTTCAGATTCACCATAGTCTATCCTAACGCTCTCTTGTGTTCTGACAAAACTCTTAACAAACTGTATTCTTGGTTATGAGTAAGGGCAGAGGAAATAATAATAGGTAAAGTTTCATAACTACCCAGATAAGCATATTTAAGATGCTATGGCAAATTCTTTAACTCTAGGGTAAGTGCATGTTATAATGAGGGCTTATGAGGAACAAACTCTTCGAAATCAAGAGGTTCAAAATACGTATCTGGGCTAGCTCTGAGAAAGCTAGCCTGTTGTTCCTCTAAAGAAAAATAATTGAGCTCTTCGGCCATTTCTTCTTCAAAGAGCGTCTCATCATTTTCCAGCTAAACGAAATTGTCATGGTAAAATTGATATGCTTCTCTCTTGCTATTGACACGGGGCTAGAATGTGGGCTAGCTGGTCCGTGCGACCCTTATGTGCCTCGCTTGGTTGCTCAGCGTCTAAGTCAACCTAAAATCTTCGGTTAATGTTACTATAGTGATGGGCACAATGGAAAAGCATAAAAAATGTAAGTAAACGTGTGTGGGGAAATGTTTGGCATGAATGCCTGAGTTTATTCACACAAAGCTCTCTATGTCCGATTGAGGTGGGGAGGTCTTCTTTTATAATGAAGTCCCCTTACATCTCATGACAATTCCTAGTATAACTACAAGTAAAACTCTTTACTTTAGTTAAAACTCTAATATTTGAGTCTTATTCAAACAAGAATTATGCTACTTGGCTTTATTTTCCAAGGAATGACCAGCTTTGCTAAGTGGACAGGCCCTAAGTCGGTGCTGTCCTCGGCCTTTGATGCACACTCGGTGTACGCAGGCCTCAACCCCCAAGTGGCCTTGGGTAACCCTTGCTGTTTGATTGCCGTGCCCTTGGGTAGTTTGGGGCGGGCGTGTCTTGACCCTACTCGGCTCTGTTTGCACCTTGGTCTCAGCGTGACCCTTGTGGGCTTCTTGGGCTGCGTCTTTCGCACTCTGGTGGGTATTGGTCTCGGTACCACAGTAGCAGCAGCCTGCTTTGTACTGGTTATGGCCCCACGAATAGTTTGTGTTGGGCTAACCTCGCCCACAAGTTCGCGGTCTGTGACATTCTCCCCCACTTGTTCTAGCGACGCCCTCATCGCTAGGTTTGCTTTGTGGCTTTAAAAGTAGTCCCCAAGGTGGTGTTAACCTTTTTCGGAGCATTCTTGACATGTTGAATAACTGTTAAGGTCTTGTTCTCTTCTTGATCACTTTGTATTAACGGGACACTACCTTGGCATCGGGAATCCATGATGCTCATGATGTTTGCGTAGGGAAGGATAGAGGCTTTGATATGGATAAGAAAGTTCAACTCGATGACAAAATCAAAGTCATCCATGGGGATTATCATGAAGTCTAGGTTGTTTTTTCATCCTCCAATCTTCAATTCTACCTTCTGCGCATTCCAATGATTGGAACTTCTTCAGTGTTGACGGTCTTGATTGCCTCTTTTGATGGTTCAATTTTGAGTTGAAGATCGTTGATGAACCTTTTTGATATAAATAAATCGATTTCCCCAGTATCCATGAGGGTAACTCTGGATTGTCCGGCAAGATTGATGTTCATGTACATTAACCCTTGCTTTCGGCTTTGATGTTGTGTGACTTGGAGTGGGTAATTTTGTACCCTTTGTGGTCCCTTCCCTCAGTGATCATTTCGTCTGGAACTTACCCTTGGCTTAACACTTGTAATTGAGCTATGTTTACATACTTCTTCCTCTGAATTGTTATTTTCTTCAGCAACGACTACGAGTTTTTCAATGTGTGGACAATCTCTTGCAAAGTGTCATTGCTCATGGCAATTAAAGCAGTTGATCGATTGGATGCCCTTCTTTTCTTTTGATTTGTTGCTTTGATGGGTTCTGCCTTTTGTAGGCTCTTCATCATCACTTGATAGGATTTGTTCTTGGTTTCTCTTACTAAGACCATCGACTTTTGATTTGGGAGGCTTGGGTTTCTTAACACCAAGTTCGATAAGGGATTCAACGGTTTTCAAGGCTTTAGACAATTCTTTGACACCACTTCTTTCCAACTCATTTTTGGTCCATGGCTTTAATCCATCCGTGAAGGTGAAGAACCTGTCCTCTTCGGTTAGACTCGGGACTTATAGGCTTAACTCGATAAATTGTTGAACGTGCTCCCTTAGAGAGCTTTCTTATCTAAGACGCCTTAGTTTTGATCGTGCCTCATTCGTGGCATGATAAGGGTAAAATTGCTCTTTGAACTCATTTTAGAATTCTTCCCTGATTCCAATGATGGTGCCATCTCGTTTCATCTTGGTGTATTTACGTCGCAACCATAAGAGTACTAAATCAGTCAAGTAAACAAAAGCAATGTTTACTTTCTCAATATTATTCTCGATACCCATGGATCGAAAGTATTGATCCATGTTCCACATAAAATTTTCAACGTGTTTGGCTGACCTAGTCTCTTTGAACTTTTCTGGTTTAGGAATTTCGGCCCGACCTTTGGGGGCGTTGGTTAGTATGCTGCCAGCCACGACAGCCTTTCACAAGGTCACCTCTGTCTTGAGTTGTTCGATTTCATTCTTTATGTTTTCAACCTCAGTTTTGGAACCCTGGTTTTTAAGTTCTTCGACCTCTTGTGTTAAGGCTAGAATTTGGGCTTCCAAAGCATTATCTTGTTGGAACTCTTAGCATCTAATCCGTTGAGTGCCATTTACATATCCTCTTGGATGTTATGCAAGGCTTCAAGCTTATCAAAATCTAGTGATCACACCATCTCAAGA